ACATTTTAGGAAATTGTTTATATCCATTCGTCAGTTAATATGTATGTGTATGTATTTGCCTGGTTTACCTATTTTGGAGCATCTCCTTTCAGCCCACGATGGACATGTCAGCTTTATTTTTGCACAAAACTAGTGCAGTAGTAGTACTCCTTTACTAGGATATTATCTAGCCCCAGGGTTTCTGTATGTCAGTTGGTTTGTGGTAAATTGATAAAACAACATGTGAGTATAATTAAACAAAATAAATAATAAAGGTCTCAATACGTTTTTACACATGACCCCTCTGCAGGACAGAGACAGAACATGTTTACCCTGTGTGACCCTTGGTAACCAAGCCTTAAAGTGTATCTTACTATATGTAAATATAGATTCAACATATCAATACTCATTCAATCAAACATCTTGCTTTATATCTAAAATACAACATATCTAGTATTAAAATAACCAGGTAGGACACAAACATTTCATTTTATTATGTATTATTATATTCTGCACAGTGAGTCCTTTCTACATATCTAGCAAGCCTACTTCCTGGACTTTGGTAACACGTGACTCTGTATGAGGGAGTTTGCTTTTGCACTCGAGTCCCGCCTCTTTTTAAACACTTCAGCCAATCACTGCATTCAACCGTCATTACAAATCCCAAAAAGGTGGAACTTCCAAAATAAACCATCGCCCACGACAGGCGGAGCTGCAACACCAGCCCGGGATTCCTCATTCCAGCCTGGCAGGCAGAGGAGTCAGCACCGTAGGCTGCTCACACACACATTCACCACACAATACTCCACTATCCTCCCGACTGGCTTTCCCCACATTACTGCTAGCCTCTTTTGCAAAACGTATGCTCCAGACCGAGAGCAGTTTTGACCAAAAAAACCATATTTGGAAAATTTAAATTTAAATGCACTATTCGAGTATTCTTTGGCAGCTTAGCAAGTATTCTATTTTTAAGTTTTGTGCAAAAGCATGCAAGGCTGTGGAGATCCCTCTCCGAACAACACGGTGCCCACGGAGGAGGATCAGCCCCCCTGCATGCACTCCGCGTCAGTCGACGTGCGTATTTACAGTCTGCACTCTCCAAACAAAAGGCACTAAAATGCATCATCTGGTAATTGACGCTTTTGCATGTACGCTGGTGGGCACGCACGGTGAAGTAGGGCCTATAGGCGACCCGACACTGCATATTTTCAGGGCGGCAAAGATCCGATCCAGTTGCCCTTACTAAACAATGCCAAAGTCAAACGGAACGGGAACTACGGCGTCGCTGCCTGTGTGGAAACATCGGCCATTCTCCGCGATCCCAAATAACACGCAGACGCATTTCTCTGCAGAGAAAGAGGGCGACCGAGCACCAAACAAATCCTATTCTTTGTTTACTTCAATAGTGGGGAGTAAAATGTCTAACCTGCCTCACCACAACAACTCCCTCCCCCCTACGGATCCATTAGCGTTACATGCTCACACATCGCTGCAGACAAAATGTTTCCAGACAGCGAGATGCCTCACATTTACAACACAGCCCGGAAAGAGTGTTTACTAGCCCACAAAATGACGTCCTGCAGATTTGGCCATCTATCGTGTTATGTTTCTGGCTATTTTGTTGTCGTTTACGACCGTAAAAAGCCCCCTTGAATTCATTTAAAGACACAAAGACGCGCGACTGACCCCAAGACGCTTTCCGTCTCGACATAAACATCGTTCACTTGTAATAGCAGCAATAACAATGGTATTATTTAGTTTAACCAGCTGTTACATACCCAGGAAAAAGACTCCTTACTCCGGATTCGTGTTTGTAACAAAATAGTTGGAGACGCCCCCCTCCGTTTGCATTGGCGCATACTGCCATCCACGTCACTTTATTTTGAATATCACCCGCTAAAAGTGAAGCAGCAGCAGGGAAACAACAGAGTCTCCATGGCTATCATCTAACCTCACCATCTCCACAGTGAAGAGAACTCACTGGGAACTGTGGCCTTATGTTGTTAGGCTCATCTAATAAACTGATATAGGTATACTTTATTACTAGTATGCCCTCTTTATTTAGTTTTGAATACTTTACTCCACTAAAGGCTACTTCTTACTCCACTGCATTTTTGACAGAGCAAGATAGTTGACTACATATTTGGCAGATTCAGCTTTTGTTAACGTATGACTTATCTTTACAATCAAAAAGAAAGAAAAGAAAAGAGACACAAACAGTCATGGTTACAAGTGACAATAACGAGGGGCCTATACATTTTCCATTTTCAGCATTATTTTGCCATAAATTGTCATTTTTTCCCCCCAATTAAGTAACATTTCCTCTCACTCTAAGCTAAAGTTAGTTCAATAATATAAATCACCTATCTAATTCAATGAAGCCCTAACAGAACCAGCTACATCATTAACATAGTGCTAATATGTAAATGATCCGTAATGTTAAAGCTAGATCAAATAATACAACAATTTGAAACGGCTTGTATCTGCTTTAAAGCTTTCACTTTAGATACTTCGAATTTCTGTACATTTATTGCACCAGTCAAATATTATATAAATGAAAATACACTGTAAACTTTGCTTTAAATCTTCTTTTTCCAAGGCCTCTAATAAGGTAACAATGCTGTGATTATAAAAAGTATAATGTCAATTGTTTACCTTTTCTTCTGAAGATTGAAATTAAGGAAACAACTAAAATTAGTCTCTCTGGCAAGTTTGAAATGATACTATTCCCTTCTGGCCGGGAATACTATCATTTCAAACTTGCAGCAGCTCCATTCATGTATTGAAGGCTGAGTTATATGCAACAATGTGACACTTCTCCAATTTCTGAAAAACTCACAATATATTCACACAAAACTAGTAAATTATATCTCACATGGTTTACATTTGTAGTTTGTAAGATGTACTCTGCCCTACATTGTTGCAGTAAAAGGCTCAGGAGTGACAAATACAGAAACAGTCATTATTTCTACATCTTAGCTTTAGGTTTTAAATGGGATCATTAGAGGTGATGATCAGAGGTCTTTGATCTAAACGTTTATTATTTTTAGTATATCTCCAGGTGTAGGATTAAGGGCCTGTGATTCAGTGACACTTGTAAAACTGAATTACTGGCATGCCATTTAAAAGTAACTGTCACCGTGATCTTTAAAAGGCGTTCCATCTATACAAAAGGGTTCTAGCATCTGAATGTTAAGACGTGAAAATGCCGGCAACAACAAGCCAAATTAAACATCTACTCAGCTTCAGGGTAAATTAGATCAATACTAAACAAAAGGTTTCTGCTTACACTTAATACTGATCTCAGACAGCTGCTCTGTTATACTGAGCAGAGAGCGGTAATTCTGCCCCGAGGACATCATACCACACCAAAAAATAAGCATTGTTGAGAGAGAAATACCCACACACTGCTCCCAGCATGCTTCACGGCTGCAGTGTTACACAGTACTGGGAGTAGTACACGTCATTTTGTGGGTATTCCTTTTTCAACGCTGATGCTTACACTGCTCACTTTGGTGTGGTTTGAAAACCCCACAGTCTAGCTAAATTCACTGTATTTATTGAGTGTTTGCAGCAGTGTAGGAGTCTTACTGCAACCCCCAGCCCTATGTTTCAAAAGAAAATGTTTGTTTGTCCTTCAGCTGTCAGCTCAAATGAATGGTAATCTTTACCTGCCTTGTAATGAAAGAAGACTTTGGTTTAGGTTTGATTGTATGTAGGAAGTTTAGAAATCTTCAAAACCTATAGACAGGGTTCTTATGGTCATTAAAAACCTGGAAAAGTCATGGAGATTCAAAATGCTAATTCCAGGCCCTGGAAAACAATATTTTTCCCAAAGTTTTGGAAAAGTCATGGAAATGTAACTAAAGTTGCTTCAAATACAATTTATATTTTATCTAATCGCCAAAATAGTAATACTATAATGATAATAAATACTGTATCGTATAGTAATGAAACGTAAAATGGCATTTAACTGACGAGGTATTTTGCTGGTGAGAGATTTTAGTTGCTTTAGCCTGTAGAAGCTAGTAAGCCTATTTGATTTGTTTTAGATAGGCACAACATGTTTCATATGCAGACCTTATTTTCCTGTTCCATGTTAAAATAAACAATTTTCAGTGGTACCGCTGAGAAAGAGTATTTTTTTTGGTCATGGAAAATTAGGTAAAGGTCATGGAAAAGTCATTGAAAATCATTTTGTGAAAAAGTGTATGAACCCTGTATAGACCTACACCCATTAACCTAATTCTTTAAACCTGCAGCTATTGATTCCTTTGTTTGGGAGCAGTTATAATCTCGACATTAACACATGACTTTATAAAGATGTTGCTGAGATCAGTTGCCTTTTCATACAACAAGCAGCCACATTAGCATTCATTACGGTTTTGTTTCTAAAGGCTTGTGAAATGTATTAAACTCCTTTTTTGCTGTTTTGATCTCCACCAAGTCTGAAGGGAAATACGAGGCTCACTAGTGGATATGCTTCTTCTATCCTCGCAAACACTAGATGTGGTTTTCCACCGTTTATTGCCGGGCCGGTTGAGAGCAATTTTGTGAAAGGCAAAACTGAAACAACAACCAGCTGATAGACGCTATAATGCTGCGTTGAGCTAAGGGGAACTGTTCTGCATGTTTGTCATACGAGCATTGTCTTTCACATTACACTGCGTCACTTCAACGATTGTTGATATAAAAATATACATTTGTGCAGCATTAATGTTACTTTTCAACATTTTGAATTGGTTTAACATTTTTTATTTCCTCGATATCTGTGCATGTTTTCTTTTTCTTATCTTCTTTACCAGTAAAAAACGAATGCCAAATTGTAAATACCAATCGCAATATAAAACTCGTGATTCAGCTCTAAATTGTATGGGTTCTTCCTTGGACCTTGCTATGCTTTCCCACAAAGTTTAATGAAAATCTCTGCAGTAATCTTTCCATAATCCTGCTGACAAACTAACAAAACCTTGACTGAGTAAATAATCAACCTTGAAAACACAAAAATCAGTTTACAAATGTTTACGTTGACATAGTTTGTATTTAATACAGTATAGCTTGATTCAATAGTCATACGAATGGTAAAGTAATAGGTTATAATAGAACAAATATAAAATTAATGTAGATAACTGTATATCCTGGGTAATCGTATGAAAACAGTTGTTGAATACAATAGAAAAATAAAATAGGGCACATTTTGCGTCCATCATTGAAAGGAAAAAATAATTCTAAAACAAGAGTGCATGAGGATGGCAGACTTAAAAAGGCTTCACTACAAGCAAATTCAATATGAATTCTGTAGCAAAGAACAGTTTTTTTTTTTCACCCAGCAATGACATAATGCAGCGTATGAAACAGACAGTTTTTGTACATGTACTCTATAATAATGGCAAGATACTGGGACCAAATTAAAGCACTGATTACAACCACAGTCTGTAGAACTTAAAATAACACAAGAATAATGAAATATACTTCAGACAAAACTCAAGAAGGACTCTGTAGGGCGTAGGCACATATTAGTGCATGCTTATTCAGTTCTATCATTATTTTCTGGCTTCCCTGTAACAATTATTTTTGATTCGTCCCAATAAAGCTCTATGCAGACGATTACAGTAAGTCCAAAATGTCACTAAATGTTTTATATTTCAGCATTACTAAGATTAACTATCCCAGCATCACACATAGAGCTACAGAACTAAGTTGTACGCGTCATCACATCCTATCTCCACGATGACTATTCTCAGAGCACATTGGGAACAGTTATTTGAAAGTGCTAAGACATGATTTGTGAGAAGAAAAAAAAAAAGAAGTATTGCACTACTCATGAGGTCTTAACTGATGACTTTGATGGCATAGTCACTGCAGACTGCTCTAAATGTGTGCGTGTGCATGTGCGTGGGCACTTAGCGATACATTCCCACAGTCACTGAAGCATGATGGCACTGCTAGTGAGCGAAGGCGGCCACAGACACTGGTCCCTGGCTGTTTCAGAGTCAGGATATCTCAAAGGTGAGATGGAAGGTCAGTGGATACATTTAGAAAAAAAAGGCATTTAACAAGTGATCACAGGAGGGGGTGTAACGGCCATTTAGGAGTTTACAGCCCGGTCATTTTGGATGTGCTTACCCCTCTTTACTGCTGCTTTTTTCTTTACTAAGGCAAAGGAGAATGCATCATTTAACCTCAAAGGAATACAACGACTTCTTGGAAAAAGACTACATCGTTTTTTTTAAGTTGAGCAGTTTCACCTCCTTGTGTTCAGTGTGACACTCCTGAGACTGGCTCGTACCGTCTATGTGACAAATACCATGTGCTGAAAATGCACTACGCAATATTTCCTGGACATAGGAGGTGTAACGGGTGGTGACAGTGGAGCTCAAGCTCCATAATTCGGAATAGAAAATGGTTTACTTAGTTAAAGGATAGTTTCACCCCAAAATGAAAATTGGATCGTTAACACATAACTTTCCCCATGTCAATGAAAACTCCCCAAAAATCGGTTTGGAAACAAATAAGCTTAAAACTCTTTCCGTCTCAGCTAAAAAAAGTATTTTACTCAGCTTACCTTATTTGTATCACAATTATATTGTATGTGTAATTGAATTATGCAGATGTGAAAAAAAATGGCTTCGGATCAAAATGATATGACTCTTGGCACACAATGGCCATGTTTACTTTAAAGGTCATATTTATTGTTATCATTATCGTACAAACTTCTGAGGAGCTTTAACTGATATGGGAGGTGAGACAGCGTGAATGAGATACATTTTGGGGTGAACTACTCCTTTAAAGGTCCCTTAAACCATTGGTTTTAAATGGCAGATAAATAAAAAAAGGGTGAATGGACATTACCTCAATTACGTCACCCACTATGCCGACCACAGACCACAAAACTGCACAACACAGGAGCAGTTTGTTCACGCTGCCACGTATTGTCTGAGATATGTTGGGCATAAACAAAATGTCACATTGTTATCACATTGAAACATCATAATGTCAACACTCAGGCCTTCTCTTATCACCGTCTTGTCTTGGTCTGGCTTGAAGAATTACCTAGTTACAGAGGACGGATTCTGCGAGGAAGTTAACTTGCCTGGGCTCACAAATTGGTCACACAACACAGCATGGGGTTAACAGACTGACTGCAGAGATCTCAGGGCTCGTGGATTAATTTTGGGAAGTCACGGCTGAAGCTCACTGATTGGCTGGGAGCAGGCCCTGTCTTTGGGCGTGCTCCAGAATGGCATTGTAGCAGAAGTAGTACTGGTCCGGGGTTTGGATGCTGAAGGCTCTCTGTGTTCTCATGCGTCGCACCGTCTGGCAAACATTCAGCGAGCCGACATCCTGTAACTGGGACAGACAGATGTCCAGGGCACAGAAGGTACCTGCAAACAACAGGGCAGGTTAGCAGCGACACTTTTTAGGAGTGGGGTTATTGGTGTTGAAACACAATTGTTATTAATATATATATGAAAAAAAAAAGGAAGCAGATTTTTGTTTTTTAGATTTAGTCTTACCCTTAATGGTATTTTTCACACCTTTTACCTAGGCCTTAAAGATGGGGCCGCAATAAATGTTTAATTGTATTTTCTAGACTAATCGTTTGGGCTTAAAACACTAAGAAAAAGTTTGTACCGGTTTATTTCTGACTATCTTGTTTAGTCAGTCCATACCCCAAGACATTCAATTTAATAAGATATCAAAGGGAAAAGCAGTACATCTGCACATTTAAGAGAATATTCTGCCATTTTTGCATTAAGTATTACTTAAACATGAATCGAACATCAAAAATAAAAGCAGATTTAAAAAAAAAAAATTGATAAATTAATCATTGCGTCTTTTTTTTAAGGCCATAATATCATTCCAAAACTTTGTGTCTTAACATTTTAAAGTCTTGGAAATGTGTTTGTTTTCCAATAAAATCTGAATTTGTAAAACAGTCTGTTAAGGACCCAAAGAAAAAATCTAATAAAATCAGGCATCAAGTTTTTGAGGATCTCACCTGTTCTCCCGATGCCTGCGCTGCAGTGGACCACCATCGGGGGTCCCTGAGGGTGGCCCGCCCACTGAAGTCCCAAAGCGGTCACCATTTTCCTCTGTTGTCTCTTCACAGCTCCCAGGAAGTCAATGAGAGTCACTGCTGAGGTGGGAACGCCGTAATCAGGCCAGCTGAGGTACTGGAAGTGACTCACTTGTCTCTGTTCACACGTCTGAATGGATACAAAATGAGGAACACTTCAATATTTTGAGAAATATGCTTTCTTGCCATGAGTATATCAATGAGGTACAGTTTGGTTGCAGTTAGCTCACCAAATATAAACACTGGAAATAAGCTTGACTGTGTACAAAGTAAAAACAACAACCTTTAATTGTTACTATTCAACACTGTATCTACTTTGTCTTAAAAAGGGACATATAAGAGATACATTCTTTATACTATTTCCATCTGACCCTGTTGAAGAGGAGAAGACGGACCTTACTATAGAATTTTGTAGGCCATACTTCTTCACTGACTCTACGATGCACGTTTGCTAGTACTGAATAATACATTTGTTTATTGCTTTCCTGTTGCAATACATATTATTGATTACTGATATTTGTCTATGTTGATGTTATACTTGGAGCTGCTGTGAAGAAAGTCACATTTCAGACTTGATCTGACCATTAAAGTAATATTTTATTGATCGTATCGCATTAGTCCATGTCTGTACCTCAGTGTTGTGCAGTTCGAGGGTGGTGTGGTTGTAGTGGGTGTGGTTGTCCACCCTTTGGTTAACCACTGCCATGTGGCAATAGACCTCCTGCCCCCCTTCATCAAGAGGCCAATACTGTCCACACTTCCTCCGACTGCCCTCATCTGTCCTGCAGCACAGAGACACGACACACTCGATTAAATCTATTCTGTTGTAATCCTGACCTACTTGAAAAAGGAGAAACTGGCACCTTTTCTGACTAAACAAACAAGTATTAACTTGAATTGGCATTCAAATAAATAACAAGTGCAATTACCTGGTAGTCATGACGATTACAAGCACGTTTTGTTCCCAGACCATTCTCCAGAAATCACTGTAGGTCTTTTCCAGCGGTCCTTCACAAGTTCAAAAGGAGATTCAAAGCAAATTAAAAAGACTTCTTTGTAATGGAGAATGTCTATTTGATTGCATGGAATGGCAGCTTAAAGAGCTTCACTCGACCCAAACACTAATGAAGACAATCATTACTCTTTTTCTACGGTAGTAATAAAACCCTTTTCCTGCTCTAAATCGTCATTTCTATGCACACCCAGTACCTGTAAGCAGTGGCGGCTCCAGAGTATTTTTGTTGGGTAATCTATGGTAGGGCTAACCCATACAGTGGTGGGGCTCAAGTCTGTATTTGCAATGTAATTACATACACGCTACTGTATATCGCCCCCCTTGACAGTGAAACGCCACGCGTGAGGTTTAGATTATTTCCCTGTCTCAATCCAAATTGAACTGTATGAAATAAAAAGGCACATTTGTCTTGTAGTAAATAAAAAGGGCGACCTGGAGCCAATCCTGCAATTTCCCCACAGGTGAAAGAGTTGACATGCTGAAAACCCGACCCCTGCAGGGGGGTCTGGGGGGATTCTCCCCCAGGAGATTTTTTGAAATACTAACATAAAATACACATTCTGGTACTCTCTTGAGAAGAAAAATAAATAAATCTATTACTACACATTTAAAAAAATGAATGCCATTTTTGTTTTGTGTTACTTTGTTCTGAAAGCTGAACCTGCTGCTCCTCACAGAGAGAAGAGCGAAGAGGCTGTGTGAATTACTTTACATTGTGGATAAGGGTGGATAGCCCCCATTGTTCTGTGTGTCAAAATGAAAGACAGCCCACACTATCAATCATCAAACCGTGGGGTCTTATTTCATTACGTGTTGATTTCTATCAACACGTAATGTTGTATCGATGTAGCCAGATGTACTACAGCAAAATTATTCTCCGTCGCGACTTCCTGCAACAACACCACGCCGTTATCGTGATTCTGATTGGCCAGAAGACATTATCAAAGATGTTTTATTGAGAAGACGATCACGACGTGACAAAAGTTTTCAAAACCGTTTCTAGTCTTCGGTATTTCCAGACAAGTGGCTACTGAAATCAATCTTACTAACTGCTGTCTGTGCAATTTACTCCGCGCGAGTTGGCGGACTTTATTTTGCTTACTTTAACATCATTTTTCATGGTGGGGCTAAGGTGGGGCTAAGCCATTTCTTGGTATGGCTGTAGCCTACCCCAGCCATACCCTGGCGCCGCCACTGCCTGTAAGTCTGCCATGTTATTTAGTCAGTTTGAGATCTTAGGAAAATGTGTGTTTATAACATATAAACATCCTGTCTATTTGACCTGCTAGTTTAAAAAAAAAAATCTACTTTTCTGAATGCTCTAAACATTGGTGTCCCACAAGGTTCAGTGTTTGGTCCTCTGTAATTAACTTTTTTTTTACGTTACTCCCTTAGTTTAAATAATGCCTTGAATCTGAATCTAGTTTAATCTTGTGCTGATAAATATTCAGTTTTCAAGCGCAATGCCTCGAACACCGTAACCAGCCCCAACGCTCACCTAGCAAATTAAGTTTTTGAATAATTTACACTTTTGTTTTCCAAATTACCGAATGTACTGTAATGCAACTGTGTCACCCTTATGCAATAATGATTAGGGAATTGTATATTAAAGGTCCCATGTCATGCTTTTCTGGTTATTACCCATCCCCTTGTGTGTTATGTAGCTTTTTATGCATGTAAACGGTCTGCAGAGTCAAAAACCCTCAAAGTACACCCTGTAGCGAGTAAAACTCTAACACAGAAAATACCTGTCTATGCTGCCCCAGAACGCCTCGTTGGAGATTTCTCTTTTTCTTCCTGGGTACAGTGACGTATTTGGGTATAGTGACGTAATGTCCGCGGAGCCGTTACGTTAAGTCCGCGGATTGGTCCAAATGAACCAATCCGCGGACTTCCTCACACACACACACTCTCTCAATCTTTTCTCAGCTGCAGCTCCGCCGATTTCGCCGCCTGAGACAGCGGGACGCGGCGAGGCTGCGAGTCTGTGTGTGAGCACACACACACACAAACTCCCAGCCAGGCTGCGGGTGTGTGTGCTCGGGCTGGTTTCGGGCTGGTTTCGGGCTGGGTTTCGCTGTGTCTCGCTGTCTCGCAGACGGCCACTGGGCTCACAGGGAGTGAATACACATACTATACAGAGATGCTGCATGAGAAACCAATGTGAGTTTGGAAAATTGCACAATATAAATCTATTTTAGTAGACCTCAACAATGGAATTATGATCAGTAGAAATGGCCATGACATGGGACCTTTAAAACACTAGCCATCCAGAAAGCATTAAAAAAGATATGTAACAGTTGTTATACCTTGAGTACCAATGTATGCATTCCTCTGTTTGTAGCCGTCCATGAAGCTTGCATTGATGTAGTCTGTTCGCTGTGGGAACAGAGTTTTGTTATTAAGACAGAGATAACCCTGAAAAATCATGTCAGTTTAAGAAAAACACTAAAATGTGAATAGTAGTGTTCTGACATTCATGTGACAGCAAAGCCTAGTTGTCTACATAAGGCTGAAGGAGTATTCAATTATGTCAGAGGAGTAAACACAACAGAAAAAGAATACTCTGATTACACTTTCTGGATAAACATCAGAGGCAGCGTGGCAGCCTTTCAAAACGTTAAAGCTTGGCACATTTCTTGGCAGCTGAGAGATATCATGAATGGGACTGGCAGTGTTTCTCTTTTCGCATGAATGACAACTATGATATGCATATTTGAAAAGAATAGAAGCACCAACCTCATTCCTTCTGGGTTTCAAACGAACTCTTGTTTGATCAAGGCACAGCACGTCGCCGTAGCGATTCCTCTCCTGATTGTAGGCTGATCTGTAGACAAATGATAACAAAATGTATTAATGACACTATTAACACACATCAATAATACTGTAGCAGCTCACCATCTGGGTTGCTAATGTGTATACAGCAGACTACAAAATCCAAATATATTTTATTTATTTATTATCATGAATGAAAAAGATGACATTCTCATATTTGAGAAGCTGAAATTATTAGCAAATGAGTTATACATTTTCTGTTAATTGAATTATGAATGAATGGGTTTAGCTCCAACAAGAGAGCGACAACCATACACCATAAATAAAGACTGAGATTGAGATTGAACTCACTGTGCGCAGTTGAAGGTCCCGGGCGGCGGTTCTTTGCGGACCTCCTCGTACTCCAGATGGATGCCGGTGCGCTGAAGCCTGCCGAGGTGCGTCAGCAGCTCCTGCGGGCGCATGGCCTCAGCTCCAGGGACGTGGATTGAAGCGTCTTCCACGGGGATTCCCACCAGCTCGTCCACTGGGTCCACTCGGCCGTTCTGACCCGCCAGGAGCTGCTGGTTCCAGCTGAAGGACTCCAGAGGCAGCAGGCCGCCCAGGTGCTGCGGGAGGCAGTCTCTGGGGAGGTGTTGGCGCAGCTCCGCCATTCTCACCATCTGGACCTGAAGGAAGGAGAGAAACAGATCTACAGATGTGAATAAGTTCACATGGTAGTCAACTGATTGTGACGTGCTATATGTGACATGTATGTAGTAATGTGTGTTTGCATTTTATCGTTCTCTTTTATTCTTTCGCCTGTATCTACTTGTCTGTCGTCCTTTTTTTATAACTAATGCTGTTGATGTATTGTGATTGTAAGGGTGTCCATTATCATCTGACCGGGGACAACAGCTGGAAATTAGCCATGTTTGCTAAAGCTGCCCCATTTACTGTTTTTAGTGACAGTCGATCAATGGGGACTGTCCACGACAATATAAACAAATAAACTAAACTCTGGTATCCTCAGGAATTGCTGACAACAATATATTTCATTTTGCAATTTATAATTGTTGTTACTGGCTGCTACTTCTTCAGAGTGTAACACAACTGTTGATAGTAACATAACTATGTGCAGCATATACTAATACATATATAATCTTTTCTGCCCTGAGGCCATGTCTGAGCATACTGGAATTCCTCAACAGAGTGAAGAGGGACTCTGGGGTATTTCATGTAAGAGAGATAAAAGGAAAAATATGTTTTTTTTATTGCACAGCCATTTAAAAAGTGCCTGTAAGTCTACATTGACATCTGAAATGTGCTGACACACAAGTCTACAGCCATGCTAGCAGCACAGTGATGCTGTACTTTGAATTGAATGCTAATATGCTAAAGTTTAGCAGGTATAATGCTAAAACAATGTGCACCATTTCTACAATTATAATACATGATATAACTGGTGGCTGCTTAGCTTCAATTTAGTTATAATCCTGCTACTAAGTTTTATTCTTCTAATAATTACAATTTAGTTTTATCACCGTATTCTTGCCTCTTTATTTGATATTTTAGTCAACATGCCTTTTATCTGCACCGTCTCTGATTAACAATTAAAATGTCCCCGCTGTGGGACGAATAAAGGATACCCGACTCTGAACTAGTATTCAACATTATTTTCCTCTTTTTACGTCAAACTGTATTTGTTTGCATATTATTGATTAAATGAATAATCTTGAAACCGAATTTACTGTAGACCCTGGTGACTGAATAAATCCATACTAATGAAATTCTTCAGGGGCGGTAATGTAGGCAGGGTGATCGACTCCTGTGATTCAAGCATTAACATTTCAGGGATCTATGTGCGGTAAGAGAGAAGCCCCCTAATCAAATGATCACTTGCAGCATCCAATAACACTGAAGTGCTCACTCATTGAACGCCTCTCCAGATAAACTTAACAGGATTTCCCAAAACTCGTAGCTAAGTATATCATCATAAACATGGTGCAAGAATTACAAAAAGAGCGCCTCTATTTACCCTCTCCCTAAGTTTGTCCTTGAGAAGCAGGCTGAGCAGATTGTAGGGCACTCTAAACCAAACGGGGGCCCCGACAATCAGCACCTTCTTCAGCCTGGCAGGGAACGCCCCCTAGTGGAGAGAGAAAGCACAAAAAAACACAATTAATATCAGCTTCAACAGGAAGTATTTAGAAATCCTTAATTTGTCTAACCATAAGCAAAAAGACGTTGCTATAGTAAGGGGGACAGTGCAGATAAAAAAGGCAAACACAATAAGTATATTTAACATATTAAATGTAATCCTAAGAACAGATTAATAGGATAGATAAGTAAACATGCATAGTAGGATTTAAAAAAAAATATTAGCAGCAATACAAGGTATGTGTAAGCAAAGATTTAGACAATAATGTGCTAGTTAGTTTATCATGACTTGCCCTGTCTGTCTATTTTCTCTGAATGTTTTAGCTGAATTGGATGAGGCCAACAGTCCCTTTTTAGATCAACGAGGGCACAAAATACATGCCTTTGATGCAGATGTGGCCACACAAGTGTCTCTGTTATTGACTCAAGATGACATACTACTAGATCGCAAATCACTTAGAGTGGTGCTTAATTTGGCAGGTCTCTGCAAGTCTGCCTACAGCTGAGCACTGCACAGTCACGGTGTGTGGATTAAATCATTCCTATGCTTGTAAACCCAGGCTGTGAGACATGGATTTTGCCCTTTGGATGAGCACTAAATTCTGCGAAGACACCGACCCTGCTTTAATCAATCCGCTTCTCAAACGGATGAAGGACACGACTTTACAGTTATGCGTTAACTCGACCCTGGAGAGGAGTGATTAATGTTCAACAACGACAGATTATTCAACCTACCTTCTTTTACTAAAAGGTAGTAGTCTTTCAATCTTATCCTGTGAATGTTACACTGTCTATTTCTCAGAATCAAGCATCTTGTTTTCTCAGATATTTATTATTTTACTTTTTTTGGCATTTACTGTAAACATTTGATGTGTTTATGTAAAAAGACAGCACTGTAAGTCAAACCTTGAGCAGGTTGAGGATCTTCTTGCTCAGGTCCAGCTCGAAGTTTGTGTAGTTGGAGCCCGCCATGTCGTAGATGAACACCAAGCCATTCCTCTGGGTCTCAAAGCTGTGGGCAAAAAGAGGTTCACACATCACCGTTAAGATATCTAAAACATTAACAAACAGGTCAGGTAACAACTAACTTATGCAGGAACATTTAACAAAGTGTTTTCCATCACAGTAAATAAAGAACAAAGTGATAAAAACCTAAAATGTATAAAAAAAAGATACTTTACTTTGTAATTTAAGATTTTTTCATTTACATGCACAACAACCTATATAACACACATAACATAATCAGGCCTCTTTAATTAAACGTTAAGTATTACATGTAAAGGATTCCCTAAAGAAAAAAAACTAACACTTGCCAATAAATAAGGTTATATTATATCTATTTAGTTGAAGTACAAATGCTTAAATAGTAATTATTTTTCTAAGGAAAGATGGATGCCCACCATTGATCAGATAACCTTTCAATAATAATTCAAAGTGAAATGTAGCTATTATATTACAACTTATTTTTATTATTTATGCAGGGTATCCCAAACCACAGTCCTCACCTTTCCACGGCTCGATCCAGGAGGTAGAAGAGAGCCTGAAGCACCACATGGTTGCCTGTTTTGTTGGGGTGATGGAGCTTGGCAGTGTACAAGGCAATGGACGCCCCCGAAGGATCCCGTACACTCTGGAATACACACATTTATAAACAAACTAAGCATTTTCTTTGATTCCTGAAAGTCTTATTGTCCTCACTTGTCCTGTATCTTCAATAAAAACCACCTGATTTCTCATAAGATGCATGTTGTGCCGTTGTTTATGAGAAAATGTTAAAAGATGTATTTTTCCCTAGAAATCATGTGGTTTAAGGTGTGACTACAAGGCAGACAAACGGCCGCTCTGCTAAAGTGAAGGCTGAACAATGACCACAGGGGGGCACTTAAGTTCATATGCTGCTTTCTGGCACTCTGCCAAAATAAAAGGCCCGTCAACAATTCTTGTTAATAAAGATGCAGGTCTCACAGGTCTCACAGCTCTCCCCCCCCCCCCCCCCCCCACCCCCCCCCCCCCCCCCCCCTCCACCCTCCACCAATGAGAGTGACACAGAACATATTTTTCACGTCAAACCTGATGAGTGTTAAGGCTGCTGGTGTCAGGAGAACTGGAGGCCTCTCACTTGAAGGAAGCCACAGGAGAAAGATTACAGGGAGCCGTCCTTTGTAAGCAAATAAGACCGTGTTCCCGGGCATGGCGGCTAAAAATACCCTCAGGCAGGATATGAAGCCCGCTGCTGAGCAGGAGACCTCCGACGTCACACAGGAGGATGTGCAGCATCAATGCCACTGTGGCACGTCAGCGGGGAAGGAAGAAGGGAAACGCAGGAGTGTGTGTGTGTGGAAAGGGGGCATCATTTACGGTTTTGATTTGGCTGACAAAAGGCTAAATATATCGGATACAGGAAATGCACTTCACTCAATCAATATCTTGCACGCCAAAATACCTCTTAATTTCCCATTATGAGAACTTCAGCTCTCATACTCTGATACACCTTTTTTGGTGAATGGAAAATAGGCTCATAACATTCGGGAACCTTTAAGGTGCCAGTTATTGATTGATTGATTGACCTTCGAGCTTAGCTATTTCATTGACAAGTTTAGAAGAGCTTACATTTCTAAAAAGGTATCACATAAGAAAGAAAGAAGACTACACGGTGAGACCATGCAACTATAAGGGTACTTCTTTTATTAGCTATTTCTAAACCTGAACTATGTTATTCAATACAGAACCAAAGTCCTTCTGTCCGTCTGGAAATCAAGAGCAGAGTAGCAGCATGAATCCCCCAAAAGTGATAAGCATGCAACATCTTCATTTGAACATCAAATTGTAAAGCTTTGTGTTTTTCCATTATTTTTTCTTATCAACAAATTCCATAAAAATACCAAAACCAGCCATGTATGTCTTTTCATTTCTCACTCTATTCCTACTAGAGATGTGAATCCTTTAAAAAGCAGATCACAAGTATCCTTTAAGTTTGAATAGAGGCCTCATTACTTCCACTATATCACTACAACATGTACATTTGTTGAGGACTATTTTCAGTAACACACATTTGGTGCTCTAGTAAGCGTATATGACACCAAGACGGTGTGTGTGGGATCAAGAGGAAAATAGCTAAAGAAGCCATTCAACATAATAATGACAGAACATGTGACAGAGCAGTAATCTGTCTCATTGGTCATGTGTTTTCAATCGTGTTTGAACAACAATGGATGATCATGGGAGGGAGGAGTAAGCTATAGGAGGATACACAGACAGTACTTTTACTTGTAGTAGGATACGCGCTTTCACACTTTGCCGTACTTAGTTTCTGTTATATGATCCGTTTCTCTTAAGGGATACAAAATAGAGGATATTTAAATGACTCTCTTACCAACACTGTGAACTTTCCACTGAGCAGCTCCGAGCGCAGAGGTTCTTCCTGAGGCTGGAGTCGGACGATTCCTTCTTTAAGACGCGTTTCCTGAAGAAAACAGATCACAGCAGGTGAAGTCAGGCTGTACAACAGGCCGTCACTTTGAGGTAAATTCCTCTGCTTGAACAATGGAGCGCTACCCGCCTGACTTTCCTGCAGGAGGATCCCTCTCCACAAGGTTTCCATTCCTTTTTTCCATCCCCCGAGGAGGCGGTGTGGGAGTTTTTTTCAACTTATTCTTACAGGCCAAGAATGGGAGGTGCCATTTTCATTCACCATTTCCTTCTTTTAGAAATGATGTGGGGCCTTAACTTAGTTCACTGGTAAAACGTATTTATATACGTCTTGATAACTGTTATAAATATTGGATTAACTCAATTTAATAAATTCCCTATCATTTCACTGAATAGATATTAACAGAGGGTTTGGTTTTTAAAGAGGCTTTCCTATTTAAAATCTAAATAACTACATTATTTAGGAATGGCATCTCTTGTATTTCTTGTTTTTCTAAGATTATAATTTTTTTCATCAATAATTTGTAATTGTTAAATGGTAGATAATTCACTTTTTTGTTTACAGTATCAAGTATTTATTTTATTGTAAAATATTTAATTATAATATTCTTTCTTATTCACAGATTTTATTTGCAGCATTATATCGCTTTTACTATTTTATGAAATTGTATTTTCTTTCCCAAAGACGACCATCCCTTGTTTGACTGTTTCTATACACCGATTGAATGCATATGTATAGGTGTGTATGGACACATGTATGTGTGTATGTGTATTGTATGTATATATGTATGTTGATATGTATGCATATGTACATGTGTAGACATTTGCCATTTCAAACAACCCCTGTGTACTCTTTCATTTTTATTTTATTTTGACTAATTTTGTTTGCCATTTCATTTGTCATTTTCGGGTCTCTAAAAATATATGATTTGAAAAACTGTACTTTTAATATAATGTGACCCCAAATAAATAAATAAATTGTATGTTCTTGACTTTGAACTACTTTGCATGCCTTGACTATAGTATGTTGGATTGTTTTAAGAACCTGTGACTTAATATTTTCAATGCAAAAACATCACTGAAACCATTGTGCACATGACAATGAAGCATGTGATTGAATCTTGAAAGAGAAACCAACATGTATAGATATACGCAGTTTAAAAACCTCAAGGATATATAAGAGCTTATTGTACTTTATGCAAATTAAATAAAGTAAAAATCCCCATTTGTTGCATTTTCATTGTTTATCTTACTGCTACGATTGATTTAAATACAGCAAATCTGAGCTAATGCTTCTCCCGCGGCAGTTCAAATAGATGCTAAAATAAAAATACCCTGATGTTTCGTGCCAGGCCTAACGACCAGCCTCCTCAGTCTGAATGCCAGCTTGGCCTGTTTGCCCCCCCCCCCCCCCCTTCCCAAACAAACACTTCACTGGAAAGTTTCCCCCTTAGTTTGTTCTGACAAATGACTTGTCCCCAGCTTCTGTCCCGGTGCTGACGCAGCATTAAGCCGAGTTAAATGAACTGTGGCGTGGCGGGGGAGACTAATCCTTCTCAGAGTCACAGTCAAGGCATTCATAAACGAGTCGCGTTCCTGCACGCCAACTATTCATTGCAGGAACAAGAACCCTGGGTGATTGAAGCGACGTTACTGAAAAGGTAGGAGGTAAAACCCTGCCACGTCTCGAAGCTATGCAGAGTCTGTGCGAGACGTTTGAGAACTTTCCGCTTGCTGCGGGGGATAAAACGGATTCGAGCAGATAAACCCCTTTTTACATGTTCACATTTGGCCAGAATTAAACTTACAGCAGTAAAGACCATTTAAGGACAAAACGAGACATTATCCTCAACTCTCTGGTATTTATTACGTGCCTCAGAGGAGAAGCGTTATTATCTAGATGTTATTTTCAGATCATAAAGTAAATGAGACGTGCAGTTTGAGCCCTAGAGGTTTCATCTTCATCATCATTTTCCGGCTTGACGGTAATAATATCACCAAGGTCACCAACTGCTATTTCAGTGATGTATTGTTTATAGAAACAAAGCTAGCTAATAAAGATCCATATATACTCCAACGTGTGGTTGTTAAAGCCATAGCAGAAGATACAATGTTAAATATACATGTACATATTATGCTTCAAAAACATTTTTAAATATTAAAAAAATGTAATTGACCTATTACACACACATCACAAATATTCAAGTCTATTATTGTGTCGAATATTGTTTTGCAAGCTGACACGACACCCTTTCCTGGAGAACATGTTGTTCCTCATTTCATTTAACCTCATAACCTCAGCTGTACCAACCAACACGCTTTTTCTGATGACAGTGCAACCCTTTCTTTTCTGATGGGCTCAAAGCTCTCAGTAAAGTTGAATAAGCCTTCATCTTGAATGATCCCCCCCGGTGTATAATTCAGTGTAAGGGTGTGTGTTTCTGGCTCCGGTATTTGGTGCATCTGTTTAGGCGATCCCTTGCTTGGCTAGAGCTTCTGAAGACATTCATTTAATGAAAAGGGGATTTTGTTACTGGGTTTGGTGAAGATGCTCTACAATGTGACCTCCACCTTCTACCTTTGTGTCAATCTGTGCGTTGTTCGACTGATATCCATCATCTTGAAAAGGCCTTTTAAAAGGGGGCCTATTCTGCTCATTTTCAGGTTCATATTTGTAATTTGTGTCTCTACTGTGACATTGGCTCTGTTGTGATTGGTCAACGGCTCAAATATGTCCCGCCCCTATATAGTGCAATGTGTTGGAGCGCTAGCCCAGTGGTTCTCAAATGGAGGTACGCGGACCCCTAGGGGTACGTTGGAGTACAAGCCCATGTTTCTCACTGTGACATTGGCTCTGTTGTGATTGGTCAACGGCTCAAATATGTCCCGCCCCTATATAGTGCAATGTGTTGGAGCGCTAGCCCAGTGGTTCTCAAATGGAGGTACGCGGACCCCTAGGGGTACGTTGGAGTACAAGCCCATGTTTCTCACTGTGACATTGGCTCTGTTGTGATTGGTCAACGGCTCAAATATGTCCCGCCCCTATATAGTGCAATGTGTTGGAGCGCTAGCCCAGTGGTTCTCAAATGGAGGTACGCGGACCCCTAGGGGTACGTTGGAGTACAAGCCCATGTTTCTCACTAAATTGTAAGTACAACTTATTAAAAAGATCAGTTCAATGCAACTAATGTCGTCTTAGTGTTATTGCATGATATTAAAATTGGTTTGCCATGAATTTAGTGATGGATTGTAAACATTTGAAATGTAGCATTTAAGTGTTTCTCAAGTTACAATGTTGTTGTTTTAATAAATCAGACACTGATGGTGCAAGGCTGTACTATACCTCTTTTTTTCCCTAACAAATTGTTTTTGCACTGATCAGGGCTGCATTTTCTTTTCAAAGGGGGTACATTATTGAAAAAAGTTTGAGAATCACTGCGCTAGCCAATAGAAGCACATGTGCTACAAAGTGATGTCACTAAGAAAAAAAAACCTATATAAAACACACTAAAGCAAAAGGAAAACCCCGAAAAGCATGATAGGGCCTCTTTAATACTTTATCATGACCTGATTTAATGTTGCCCTTTGCAAAATGCCATACATCTGAAATGATCACGAAAGTTAGCAAACTGAATGAGAAGCAACATGTACTCTAGTAACTAACACAAGCCGAAACGAGTTGATCTAACAATAAAGTGGTTCTGTGTTCACTCCCAAGTGTTGCTGGATCTTTGAACTCTTTCCCTTCTCCATGACCCTAGGCTGTTGGAGAAGCTCTTCCCACACCCACTCTGCTTCTTCCGAGAAGACTCGTCACAGACTTTGCAGTTGTGCCTCAAAAGGTTAATATAATGCAAATGACTCTGTGGAAATAATATTTAGTATAATGAGATAAGATGGTTCCAGTGTGGGTGTACTGTAGACTCGTTCGATTATTTTGAAACTGAAAGCTAAGAAATTAAGGTTTTATCAAAACAAGTTAGAGCTTGGGATGACTCAGCATCTCATCTAAAACTATTTACTTCAGGACATTTGCTTTTTCTGGCTCTGTTATGGTTTTGTAATTTGTCAACGATTGGCGCAGTTTAGAATGACAAAACAAGCTAATGTATTTATTTTCTTGCTTTGACTTTAGTATGACAATGGAACTTATTTCAACACAAGAGGTGTTGGTTACATTGGTATATGTACCATTGTGTATGTACCATATTTATGCAATTCAGAGGAATGAAAAAGTAGTTCAAATTGGTAAATTCACACTGAAGAAGTCCAAAAATAGACGCAAACTAAATACTTTCAGACTAAATTGTGTGCATTTCAAAAGGGATGTTATAAGCTGTCCACTTGGTTAGCTAATTATATGCTGACATTCAATATTAATTACAAAATAAACAGTATTATTTGTAGTGCAATACACCCTGTGTCTACTGGATTGTATTAAAATGGACATGTCCAGCTGTTCATAGCCACTGTTGAAAAGAGGAGAATTTGTAATAAGGGTGCTACGTCAGCGCTGCTCCAAAAATAAAACAGTTTTAATCCAAACAATTCTCTCCAGTCTTCTTACCCTGTAGCTGTGGAAAAGCTCGATGGCTCGCAGGACGTCAAACTTTCGAGCCATGAGGAACTTGACGGCCAATTCCCTGGACAGCGGTGACACTCCATGCTGACTGGTCCACTTGTTGATTTCCTCCAGAAACTGCCTTGTAGCCTGAAAACACAAACAGATGTGGTCACAAACGTTGCACTCCCATAATCGAAAGGGTCAAAGAGAAAAGGAAGTGAAACGGCGCTTTAAACTTGATACATCCTCACAGGAAGTGCTATCTACAGTCTCGCAGAAGACACCATTTTTAGGGCTGGTAAGACGTCTATGATAATGATCCATATGCTGTTGTATAGTCTGCTCACTGTGAGTTTACAGAATGTATATACACAGGGCGGTACAAAACTAAATGTGGGAAGTGAACTGCAATTTGTGCAGCCAACCAAAGTGATTGGTTTTACACTCAAATGCTTCTGAGTTTTGCCCGTCCTTCCGGTGTGTTAACCACAGCTATCTTGGGGAAAGCTTTGGCACTTTGTGAAATCCATTAATGGACAAACATTTTTTTTTAAATCCAGTCGCGGATGAGTTCAAGATAAGAGCTTACAATGTCAAAATAGTTTGTATCAAGTGAGTGCAAGAGCTTGAGAGGAGAGGACGCTGGAATCTTGCTAAACTGGTGTTTATGACATGAAGCTGCAATAATGACAGGGTGACACACTTAATAATACTTGGAAGTAAAGCCAGTCATATGTAGTCGTTGAGTGCTGGAAAATCAGTCATCCTTGATAACACTATACTGCCTGATAGGTTTGATTAGTCTTCCAAACTAGGTTTATATTTGTCTCCTACAGGAAGAAGATGATGAATGAACTCAATGACAGTAAAGCTTACACATGTGGATCTAACATTTTCAGGATGGAGATGCTAATTAGTTTCTTGTGAAATCTGGCTTCTACTAAAGTGAAGAACCCCAAGAGAGGATGGAAAAAAGCTCAAAACTGAAGTTATGATGGATTACGTCTCATTAATTACACATAATATATTCAAGGGAAACTTGGTGAGACAACTGAGTGTTTACTCTTTAGTATTTAGTTTCATGTTAAGTCTCAGTAAGATTGAGTAAATGCTATATTTTGTTAGGTTTTTAAGCTCTTTAGGGTTTCCACAAATTCAAGCGCAATGTATATTAAACTACATTAAGCAGATTTTGAGACAAGTCGAATATTCACTGGTCTTTTAGCTCGTTTTTTGTCCCCACCACCTCTCCAAATCTTGCTCTGCAGCCACTTAATGCCCCTCTATGTTCAACAGCTAATTGCTAACTGTGTCTTTCTGCCAGGAAGGCAGCATAAAGTGGGTTTTTAAAAATGTCATCTGCTGAAAACAGCTGTCTTCTATGGCCAAAAATGCACCCTTAGAGCAAAAGGTGAACGACAAAACAGTTACCCTGACATCTTTGGCAAAAAACTAGTCGTTTGAGAAATGTTTAAGATAAAAAGTGATTTTAAGTATTCACACGGAACTAAAGAGCTAGCTAACAAAGCAATGTGGTTATTTTTTTTTAATCAGACACTGGTTCAAATCTAAAAACATCCAATGAAATGTGTATCATACACAGCGCTTGTATTTTGGAAAATGTGTTTACCATAGGCCTTCCACCCATCTTGCAAATAACTTATGCATTTAGCCGGCAGTCTTTCAAGGGCTTCCTGTCCTCCCCCTGCTCTTATTATACACTCCCTCAGGAACCTCCTCCCCCCCCCCACCTCCACCACCCGCAGAGTGAGCGAGTCAGCACCCAGTGAATCGTCAAAAGGCGACACAGGAGGCAATGAAAGCTCACACTTTAAACACAGGCTCCCACTTCTCTGGTGTGGCACAGCGGCGGTGGGGCATGCATGGGAGACAGGAAGTCAAGTTGTGGGGGTCCACGGCTCTTCAGGAATACAAAACGATCACTGAGGAGCGCCGAGCCCAGAGACAGGACGCCACTGTCTCTCCTCAGGAAAGCCAGTGCTTTCACACACAGGAGGGCCTGCAGCTTCTGCTCTGTTCGGGGGTCTTAACATGCAAGGGATGAGGGACGATTGCACCTGACAGCGCTGAGGTCGCTTCATATCCGATTCTCATGGGGAGGGGTGGTATTCTGAGTCCTGAGCTTTTCAGTGGAATAGAGAACGGATATCTGATCATCCTGAGCCATTTCTCTATTATTGGTATGAAATACTGACAATTTTAACATACATTGACTAGTAAATGTTTCAGACCTCACAATTTAACTATAAACTAGACATTGTGGCCCTACAATGAGTTATTTGACTGGGTGCATTGCCCTCACAAAATTGTTCTTATTAGAAAACTCTACCAATATTTTATTGTGTTTGCAAGTTTAAATGTTTTCAGTCCAATTAACTAACATTGACTTCATTATGTGCACACTTCAACTACATTGAACTGTATTTTTTTACCAAACGGGCATTATTACACCATTCATCAGTGTACGAATCACCAAATCCAGTCAGAGCATGTAATGGGAAAGAGCCTTTGAACAGAAGCTAGTCAACAGAGATCAAGAAGGATCAAGGAGGTCAACCACATCCTTTCCCAGAAACCATTTCAACATGTGTTCAATGTCCATCCTGTAGCTGAGCCATCTCCTTCCACTAAAGTAAAAAATAGTGGTGATGAATTTCACAAAATGTATTTAAACATATCTCCCTTTTATTGCATTTTCCCTTGGTCACTGGGTGTTTCGCTATTGTTTTTTAAAAAGTGTATGGAGTTATTGGGTGTGTAATTAGTTGGTGCCATTAATCTGGTGAGAATCACAAAGCAGATGATGAGTCAGACAATTGACAATAGTGGCTGACTTCCTGTCTTAAATCTTTGTCCTCTAAAAGTAGGTTTGATTCAAGCTAGTCTGGGGCAAAATCAATCTGTTTAATTGGTAAACAAAACAAATTGAAAAATAACTAAGAGGGAAGAAACTGTATAATTATCTTAGAGAGAATACTGCAGACAGATATATGAAGTATTAAAAGGTAGGTAGGTAAGAATGGAGAAACCAGCTCGAGTGCGCTAGAATTTGAAACTACGCAGCCGAAAAAAATCTGCCCCTTCCTTCAGACTTCCTTACAGAGCCCCTCCTCCAACACACACGAACGCGCACATGACCACTGAGGGCACGAGATAAGTTTGTGCACAGATGGAAGGCTGACAGGCAGGTAGGCCATCCTCGTGTCGTGCTTTTTACAGCGCTATGGCTTCCACAGATGACATTTTTTTATGTATTTATTGTCAAAGCATTTAATGTATTCATTGCTATCGGGATGTTAAGAGCATTCCATGGAATATAACAAAAAGTGTTTCTGAAGTGAATTACCTACCCTACCTTTAAGAAAATGAAGTTGCAAAATAAGTTAACAAGTATTCCCATCAGTATTCCCATCCTGGTTACAATTTCACTGTTGGTAGTTGTGATTCAAATGTTTTGGACTACGCAGCTTAAAGATGTTATTTTTGCAGTCTTTCAACACGAGGTCCACGAGTTCCTAATAATATGGTGCAATCTGCTCTTGGTTGTTCCATTGTTAAGCGGTAATCCTTCGATGTAGGCCAAAGACAACTTCCTGTCAGATTGCCGTCAGGTACACTCGGCTTTCCAAGATTTCTAATGTTCTGACAGCTGCTCTTTCTCTCTTAGCCTTTTAAGGAGAGCCTGCCAACTCCATGCAGTGACCCTCTGTTCCTGGAGAAGCCAGTATTGTTTGGTTTTTCTGCACTAGGGGCCATATCCGCCAGAGTGGAATTTGAGGATGAACCAGTTTGTTTTCATGAAAGCACAGCAGACTGCACTGGAAGACTAACTGCGGAGGAGTCACTTTCTCAAGTCCTGGAAGATGCATAAATATTTGCTTGACTTGCTCCGGGTCTGATAGGGCAGGAGATACTTCCTCAAAGTTCTTGAAACACTTAATTCTAGCTTAAACTGCCTGACATAAATCTAAACAAACTAAGAAGAAGGTGCAAGTGCAGGAATAGTCCGTTTCTGGTCAAAAATGTTCCAATCTTCACTGGTTCAGCTGTCTTTATGTGTTCAGTTAGTCTTTCTCAAATGCTGAGTTATGAATTTTAAACAATAAACAGCTGACCAGTTTGCTGTCAGGGGGTTGTTCATTGGCAGAGTTGACAATGACTGTCGATAACTAATTGATTAGGTTCACTGTGGTAGGAACAGGATGTGCTGCGAGTTCGTGGATGAAGTTATAGTTGGTTCTTTGCCAAACAGGCATAAAAACAAGTCCATGGGTCCAAAAAGGTTGGAGACACTGACCCAGGGAACTATGACATCAGAGGAAAATTGCTGCCAGAGGGAGACGGCGGCTGAGTCTGTTTTGACGTCCAATAATAAAAAACAAGAACTGCAATGATTAGTTAAAAGATGGGTTACTTGCTTTACAACTTAAACTTAACGTACTTGGGTTTTGGACATCAACTTGGACGTTGAGGTCCAAGGCCGGGAAGACATTTTCTTTGCAATCCTTTGTCAAGAGCAAACAATCAATTGATTAATCCAGAAATGACTAAGTATCTTTGGGTTTTGAGTAGGGCTACAACTGCAACTATACAACTATTAGGTAAACTATGGAAACCAGCACTTATTGGTGTTCAAGGTGTTAAGACCAGTCATATTTGACAAATCATGTCAACTCTACAAGCTTTGTCAAATATTGAAACCACTTTATTGGCAAAAAACTGCCTAGGAAGACTGTTGCCAACCACTAACACAACCCTATAAACCATTCTCACTATGCATATTGTGAGTAGTGAAATGTAAGCATGAAGTATTTTTATAATAGCTGTATCTCATTGAGATGTGTCATAGCCAGGGCAATGTATTACACATGCTGGCTAACTGGCAAACCCTTTTTTTTATTGTTTTACTTGATATCATGATGATGCTTTGTTACTGGAATTGGTCATTACTATCCCAGTATTGACCTACCGCCATTGTTTTCACATTCCTGCCAGAAGGAGTCATATTGTACATAGTGACTGTACTAATGTTTCGCCAGAGGAAACTCTATTTAAGGGCTTTGAAGTAGAGAGGGTTACTGCAGCTTCCTGATCACACCATGATCCTACAGACAGAACTAATGCATCTCTTCATTGTTGGATTTCAAATGGATTCATGGCTGCCCTGACATTGCCCTTCCTGAATCTATACAATAACAGATGCCCTGCTAACCTATTTACAAATGTAGGACTGCTGTTGCCAAGCAGCTTTGCTTCACTTCAGTGAGTCCCATTTGGCACGAGTCAATACCAAAACAGGAAGTCAATGACGTCACTCTCTCCCTATTCCCCAATTTCTCTCACTCCACTGCTTCCTGGGAGTAGACTCAACACACAAACATAGCCACACACACACACACACACACACAACACACATTTTCTCTAGAGCACATGATAGACACACACAAACACACTCTGTAACTCATAAACTCCCCCTTCCCCCGAGTCTAGTGGAAATGCTTTTAACAGCTGCCTTCAGAATGAAGTTCCACTACACCCGTGCATGCTCCCGAGAGAGCCGCACACGCACACAAAACACACACATACACACACAATCCAACCAAACACCCCCCACAAGGCTGGGGATGTAATGAGGGCCTCCGGTACCCTAGCGGGGGCCCGGGCTCACACAGGAAATGGAGTAGCCAGATAAGGCTTTCTGCTGGCCAGATGATGAGAGGAATCAGGAGGAAGAAAAGGCACGCGCGTGACTTGAGCACTAAAGAAAAAGACTAAATTAATCAGTTTCAAAATCTTCATACTGCAAATGATTATTATTATTCCTCCATGGTTACGTTTGATTTTCTTAGTAAAATGATCAATGTGCAAAAACAGTCTTTAGTGCGCATGTTGTTTATATATGGCTTGGTATGATTTATGCCACTATTGCTTTGAGTGGTTATACTTAAACTACAAATCCATAAATGCTTTAATTTACAATACGTTTATTAGGTACATGTATAACATACATATACAATAAGAAGGTTCATGTTCAGTTTTTGCAAAAATGTTCTCATAGATGGGTTGATTCGAATTTAAGGTCCACCCTCATTGATATAAAAGGAGTGGCACAACATATTAGAGACACCTCAGTCAACGATACATTTGAACTACTTCCAAAGCAGCTACAACAATTATAATTTCCATGAAGGTAGGATTTGCTGCAGGGTTGTTTTATGTCAAACAAACAACCCTGAAGTTACATCAAACAAACAACCCTGCAGCAAATCCATCCCAGTCTAAAAAATGATTAGACTGCATTACTTTTAGCTATGGGCTACCTAATACATGTGCAGGTTTAACTGTAAAATGTGAGCTTTGATCTTTAAAATCCAAAGAGTCTAAAGTCATGTCTCCAGGGCCTGAATCCACGAAGCATAACACAAGTACATAATATAAAAGTTTAAATGATTTATGACTTAAATTGGTTCATCTGCAGCAATACTAACAATCAAGGAATCATTTATATATTTTTCCTTATTCCAGGTTTCCAAGTGTGGATATTTGGTGGTTCTTGAATTGACTTTGATAGTAAACTAATGATGGAAAATGTGTCAAAACTAAGCTTTAGTGCCTAACATAAACATTGTACACTATAGAAAGTAATGTCAAATTCATATGCTTTGATATTATCAAAACAAATTAAGGAAAATACATTTCCTATCCTTGAAATGAGATCAAATGAGTGAATGTATGCCAGTTTATCAAAGTCACATTACTAGCCTGTCAATATAAACCAAGTTTCTAATGTAAACACTGCTGAAATAGCCAAGTGTTGAACTAGACGGAGTGTCCAACGCTCTCCAAAAACATTCCCCGGTTTAATATCACACTCTGCCCCCACCAATGAACCCCTAAAACACCCGGAATCAGTATTTTACATATGTGGAGAGAGACTGATAAAGCCGAGCTCGGCCTGTTTCGCATCACATGAGCTCAGCCGCTGGAGAGAGGATCTGACAGTGATGCAACGAGAGCAATAAAGAAATCGATACAATATTTCCGCTTTCACGACCATTTCCCAACAAATGCATTGCGCACTCGCTGCGGTGGGCACACGCAAAGGCCAAAATACCTCCAGGTAGAGCCGAGACTGGAGCGTTTAGGTTAAAGAAACACAGATAGGAAAGAAGCATTAAGGCCTACCTGTTCTTCCTCCGCCGATAGAGTAGCTGCCATCGTCAGTTCTGTGATCACCTTTCACCGAGACGCGTCCTTTTCATGAAGTGGAAGATGACGGAGATGTGTCTGTCCCTCGTGTAAAAAACGGGCTTTAGGGGTTGTCCCTCTTGCTCAAAGTTGAATGCATCTGCTGCAGTGGGAGCTCCTTTCCTCTTTGCGAAACAAGCAGGCTAATTAGCCCACCAAACTACATAGAAAACGCGCTGATGTTCTATCAAAATTCGCCTAAGAGAAGAAAAGGAGGACAGTGAGGAGGAAAAGAGAGGAAAACACTCGACCAGCTAGACGAGGCTTGACTTCGGCTCGGTAATAAGTGGGTTCAGAGCCCGCTGCTCCACCACCTCCTCACCTCTCACAGATCATAGGGCTGCCGCTGCCGCCGCCTCCTCCATGCCATGAATTGCAAGTTTTTAGCCGTGAACGTCGCCTTTATGTTGTGGGGGAAACACACACCCACACACACACTCACACACACAGCTCTGAAAAGTGAGAGAGTTGAGGCTTTTTCTTTCTGCATGTTGCTCTACCCCCTGGTGGTAAACACTAGAAAATGACAAAAGCTCACGACCTCCGCCTTCATTCATAAAAATAGGAAACCAAACAGGAAAATCACCATTTTGAGTGTCAGTTAGTGATGGGAATTCCGGCTCTTCTTGGTGAGCCGGATCATTTGGCTCGGCTCACCAAGAAGAGCCGGCTCTTTCGGCTCCCAAACGGCTCTTCAGTTTACCACATATTATACCTTTTATAATTCAATCAAATGTAGCCCTGTTTTGACTAATGATTTATATGTGTACACATATCACTTAAATTATTCAATACATCCTTTGTACTGAAGTATTCAAAAGTAAAAATTACATGTTTAATATCAATTATTTGCTGTGGCCAATTGTTTTCATTGCATTTACAGACCCTTGTATCTATCTGATACCACCCAATGAATGCACAGACTTGCTTGTAGAACCACGCTACACAAAGCAGATAGCAACACCTATAAAAACTTAAGCATAGACATTTTAAAAAAGGGGCTACTGTATCGACATTTTAAAATTATATTTAAAGAAAAGGCCCTGACAAAACAGCAGGGCTCTATTTCAGTATTAACTATAGAAAAAAAGACAGCAACAGCTGACATCAAATCTTTGCTGAGCCCAAGGATAATCATAAATAAATAACATAGTGAAAATAAATATATTGCAATGCTCAGTACAGCAGCATCCAACCGTCTCTAATCATAAAAAAACATAATACAAATAAATGTATTGCAATGCTCAAAACAGCAGCATCCAACAGTCTCTAATCCTTGGATATTACATGCCACTGCATGCATGCACAGAGCAGCTGTAGCGCGGAGATCATCATATCATTCTGTCTTGTATTACTTAACAAAAAATAACAAAAACAAAAAAACGGCTCGTTCGCGGGCGCGAGCCGGCTCCCGTCGTTCACTTAAAAGAGCCGGCTCTTTGAGCCGGCTCGTTCGCGACCGACACATCACTAGTGTCAGTCTGAATCTGGAGGCGCGAGGAGGACTCACAGCCAGACGCTATCATTACTGTGGAAAATACGCTATTCGCATATACGAAAATAAAGGACATTAAAGTCCTCTCAATAAAAATGTGTTTTGTTTATGTAAACGTTTCTTTACCTAGCCTAAATGATGAATGGCTGTTATGTGGAAATGTGTAATAAGAAGTATTTGTAGGAAATGTCAACGGTTTATTTCCATGAAATTAAAATGAAATTTCATGAGAAGATTAATACATCTTCAATATTTGTGCATTTATATAAGCTATTTGCCGTTTTGGAAGAAGTACTCAGAGTCAGATCCTTTACTTATGTAAAAGAAGAATTGGCCTTAAAGTACTCCATTACAAGTAAAAGTCCTGATTTCAACATTTGACTTAAATAAAAGTACAAACGTATCAGCCTCAAATTGTACTTAAAGTAGACTACTAAAAGTAAAAGTACTCATTCTGACCCATTTCATAATAATGTAAAGTACTGAAGTATTATCAGGTAATTGTACTTCAAGTATCAAAAGTAAAAGTACTTTATTTTAACAGTATTATATTAATATGTTTATTATATCATCCTGTTTTATAAGCAACAGCATTTTAGTGTTGTAGCTTTTCAATGTGGAGCAGAACAGACATAGATACATGAAATACTGTGCAGATTAGTAGTACAGTAGACTACTGCATTATACCATATCAGCATATATTATTTGTATGTACAAAGTAACTGTGTTAGTCTTAGTGTGGTAAAGTACAAATACTACATCAAAAGTACTTAAAGGTGGGGTATGTAATTTATTTCAGAAACACTTATTTTTATTTTCTGAGAGTAGTAAATTCCTGTAGTCTCTTTTAGACTTTCTTTTCTTAATTAAACCAACAATACCTAACTTATTTATTAGAGAGCTTCTTGTGTACAGATTATGTTACCTTTGGAAAGAACTACATAAATATGATTCCCCATTTACAATCTCTATGCTAAGCTAAGCTAACCACCTTCAGCCACTGCAGTCTATATTGAGGTTATTTATCTTTGTGTGCACATCCAGGCATTAGCTATACATCACAAGGGCTGTCTCCAAACCATCAATGCATTAAGATACTGCTGCATTAAATAACGTAAGAGGAAATAACTAATAATAGTAGCAGGTCTTTCCGCAGTAGTAGGTTGCAAGATTAGCAATTTAATTAGAGAACCTCTGGACTCCCTCAGGCTACATTATGATCCAGTACACTTTACAGGAATTGCATGTCATCAGAGGAAGCAGAAAATACCCCACCGTACGATAAAGTCACTGTAATGACCCCCAAAGAAACCTCAGGCCTCTACAGAAATATAATATTCTGCTGATATTTCTCATCAGGATAGTTAAATAGTGCAGTCAGGAGATTGTATTGCCTATTGATGGCCTTCATTTCATACCTTGATGAGATTGTAATGAGGTTGTAAAAGTAATCTGATGCAAAACAGGCACAGTGTGAGAAGTTGTTGAGATTTCTCAATGCTGTGTTAACATCATAGATATATTGTTAGGCCTGTGGTTGAATAAGGGAAAGCCTTTTGAGACAAGTGTTTCATTTCTTCGACTTCAAGTGTTGTTGTAAGAAAAGAAGCTAGAAGTTATAGGTACAATCACATGCTGTTTATATTTTTCTTTCCACAAAAAACAATCCCACAATAGGCGGACTGTAAATAATAAGCCGTGAGAAAGTCTGGCTTGAAAACTGAAGGGAAAAGGGAGTAGACAACAATAGACTTCCTATCAAACTAGCTGACATTTGTGAACATTTGATTGGTAAACTCTTAACCCTGCCCTTGTAATGTCCACCCTGACATAAAAACTCTTAAAGGCCCATTTTCACACACTGGTTAGCAGAGGGTGAAATAAAGGCATTCACAGTCTAAATGAATCTGTTTACTCCAAGATGTTGTCTAAAGTACAGTGTGGTGATGCCAAGCACCAAGTAACAAGTCTGGAGTGACTGCTTTTTATGTAAAGGCTGCTTGAAAATCACATTTAACTGGATTTATCTAAGAATCACAAATTAACTGTGCAATCTGTTGAGGACTCAGGGCCTTAATGCTACTAAATTGATCTGACATTTGGGAATTTACATCAAACCACACACACATTACTGACCCAGATTACACATAGAAGATTGATTCTGATGCATTTTACACAGAACCATTTTAAATAGTTTTTTGTTTTGCACAAAATATGAATTTAAAATGTTATAATATAATATGGTTGCCAATTTAAGAAGTATGCTTATACACTTTCTTGCCAAGAGTTAAATGAGAAAATCAATACAAGTCTCATATCCGCACTTTAAATATTGAGCTACACTCTACCAGTATTTTTTTTTGTATGTGGCTAGTCCAAATGTGTTCATAGGTTGGATTGCAGCTTCTTGGAATTTGGGTTCAGTTTGGAAAAGAACAAGACTATTCATCATGTCTGAGAGTTGCAAGAGAAACACAAATCTGCCTCCTTAAAAGGCATGTGACAGGGTTTTCGTAGTAATCAGAGAAGCCTAAGTAACCGTGTGTGTGTGTGTGTGTGTGTGTGTGTGTGTGTGTGTGTGTGTGTGTGTGTGTGTGTGTGTGTGTGTGTGTGTGTGTGTGTGTGTGTGTGTGTGTGTGTGTAAGGAACTAAGCACACTTTAATAAGTACAACTGTGTACTTACAGGTGCTCAGTTCCTGGAAAGTGATCTGCGCTGCTGACTAATAGCTGAATTCTTGCAGTAACCACATGCCTGACTTTGCTCTTTGACAGGCGTCTAGGTGTAGTGGTGACTGAATGTGGAAGACAAAAACATCCGATTGTACCCGATGTAAAGCATTTTGTCAAAGATATTGTTCTTAAAAATGCTTTGGACCCTTCTGCAGAAATGTGTATTTGCACACTTTTTGACCACATGAAAAAATCAAAGGGAGATCAAACATTATTTATATTGTGTTTCAATCTGATTTGTCACAAACCACATCAACTCTGTTTCATATACTGTTTAAATGATCCTTGTCTACATTTAGGTAGAACTGAAAACTCATTTAAAAGCAGATAACAGTATTTAGTAGTAGAAGGTTCTTGGTTATCTGCTTTGACTGTTCAGATCAGTCTGTGATGTTTAATGCTTTCCAGGAGCAATCACCTGATCAGATTTTGAAATGTGGTATTTAGTTCTTTCAGCTGCATTGTGGACTTTCCTCTACTTAAGTCAGTGATCTCCTATTTCCCAGAATGAGATATATAACAACCCCCCCACACAAGGGTGGTGAACGTGTTATTTTCACCTGTAAATGTTCCGTGTAGGTGGTGAGAGCAATAGCGATACCATCATAAGAACGAGAAGAAAGAAGAAAACAATTTTTTTTCCAGAGTAGAACAAGTGAGTAGTTGTTCGAAACATAAGACGAAACATTTATTTTAAAAATTATTAAAAATAACTGCCTTTCTCCAAATGGAAAAATAAGTCAAAAAAGTATGTGTTAAAATGTTTTAAAATTAGATATAGAGTCTACAGCCAAAGTAGTAGTTCTTTGAGGTTGTTCTCTGGGACAACATTGCTAAAATGTCACCATCTAAGTACCGTTAGCATGCTATCATTTGCCCCTTAAATAAAAGGAAAGCTGAGGTTTAAGTGTGAGAGCATGTGACACAATTGTTTAACATTTGAAAGTGATCACTAAAGTCATTACAGTTAATTCTGAAGGGGACATTAATGTCTTTATTAAACCATCAAACTGTGGAGATATTTCACTTTCATGTTAAACTCATGGTAGCGCCTGAGGAAAAATCTAATTATATAGGATCATATATATCAGTATATATGATTTATGCTCTATAGACCATGAATGTATTCAGGAAATGTCATTACAATGAATCCAACTGTAGTTGAGATATCTTGACCAAAGTGATGGACTGACCGACGACACTATTAGCTGTCGAGCTAAC